CAAGTTGCGACAACGAGGTCAACCCACTTCTATAAATCGAAAAGAGACTGCGACCATACCAGAGGCCACATCTTGGTCTTCATATCTTCATATAAGAATGAAGTCCAGACTCCCACTTAAGTTGTAGAAATATATAGAAAACGCAAGCAGCCTCATAAGGCCTACTCATGCACTGTAGGAAAACCTGACTATCCGTCCTCAAATCATCTTGAGGCAGATAGAATAACTAAGTTTTCATTTAGGAATTATTGAGAGCCTTAAAACTCATGCCGAAAATAATTAGTGTGATCAATTGCAATGACGAATACATGCTTGTCTTATCGACAATCCTACTAAAAATCTAACCTGGATAGGGTCTAGGTAGCCTTGGATGTCACATCTGCCCTGTAGCTCACTGGCACCCATCTCTGTGAATTGGAGTGGTAACGTCACTACGGTACTTAAGACCCGATATCGAATCCTGTTAAGGGTGCTGATGAAAGCTGGGCGAGGTCAAAACTGTCGTCCGCCCTGGAAAACTACTATCCCCTTAGAGAGACAAGGCCAAGTGAAGTTAATGACATCAAAAAGCCTACCCCTAGCATTGTGGGAAAAACCAAACTTTCAATTCTCAAATAACCTTAAGCCATCTAGGGTGACTAAGCTTTTATCTCTCATAGAAAGCCTCAGAAAGGTTGGCCTGGTTTTTTGTGTTTCGCTCTACAGAAGAATCGAGCTGAGAAGTGCAGTCCTCAGTGAATCGACTCAAGAATTGAAAGAATCCATGCTGGTCCGCCGTTTTCCAAAATAGGTTTTGACGTACCGTTTTTTGGAGCGTTTTATTTAAGCAAGGCTGATAACTCGGATAATGTCAGATGAACGAGACAAAAACCGAGCACAAATCCATCGATTCGCAGAAGAATGCAACAAGAATTGCAGTGACCAAATCAACAAACTTAGCCTACAAGCTACCAAAATCAAGCCATACTGTCTCAGTTTGAGTCCCGCATGAAGTAATGCCAAGGTCTAGGCGAGAAGGAAACGATGCTCCATTCGGGAGGCCGAGGTTCTTGTATTTAGGATGTGGCGAAATTTATCAGAAAAGTCAAACTTGGAAAGCTCACTGATGTGTTGATTGTCCGAAGACGCATACGGAAGTCGTGTAGTGCGGTCTGAGTGAGTAGAATGCGATTCAACGCTTGCACCAAGACAAAGCAGTCACGCGGCGGGAGGAGATGGATGATGATGGCGGACATTACACGATACACTGAATCCGCCCCAAGAACACAACAGAGGTCACTAGGGGTAAGAAAATAAAAGTAAACAAAGATAAATAAATGGCAAACCCTTGTTCACAAAGACAGTGTGGCAAAACGAAGTAAACCAATCTGGCTAACTTATTAGGAAGTAATTACCGGCATAACTTCT